ATGCGTGTTTTTCCTTTATAATCCAATTGAAGTAGACATAATGTTATAGCAAAGGAAATATCATTGTATTCATCTTGTATGATGACTTTGTTTTCTGTAGTGGGAGCATCAAATTGCTGAAATCGTTCAACTTGTCTCTGATGAAAAGAACGCCCGATCATACTTGCAGACTGTTGCTAAAGGACTGGTTGAAGATGTGGAGAGCTTAAGAGCCAGCTCTTCATCCATTGGAAAAGTAAATAAACTACACTTCTTAGACATTTTGTGTACATACATGTACATGTACATGTACATACCAGTCATGTAGGGTAATCACTAACTTATAATTATTTTGCCTCTTTTTCTCTCTCGTAGCAAAAAGAAGTTTGGGTTGAAAGGAGGACGCTGAGAAGAGACAAACTTGAGAGAGTTGAGATGCAGCAGAACTTTGAGAATGAGCTGAGAGCCAAGCAAAGAGTTGAGGAAGAGCTGACGCACATAAGAACTCAACTAGCTCACACTGAAAGGTGAGAATGATTGAGATAAGTATGGAGGGGGTAGAGTTATTGATTCCATAAAAGGTTAATTACATCATAACTTATTTATTTGTTTTTATTTCCAGTGATGTTGTGCAACTCAAGGCACAGATTGAGTCACTGCAGAAAGAGAATGAGAAGCTCAACAAAGAGAATCAAAAGTATCGCATGGGATTAGGTAATCATTTTCAATGTTTGTATCATGATAATATCTAATGGTATTTGACTTACATGTACATGTACATGTATAGGGTCTCGAAATGACAGTTTTACAACTTCAATATTTCACCATCAAAGCGGGAATCAACTTGAGACTAGCACTAGAGCCGCACCTCAAAAACCCAAGGTAAAGTTACAAAATCAGAATGAAGTTTATTTTATATGAGTTCGTACCAATGTGCATTAAATAGAGTATTATTTTTGTTGTAATTTTTGTGTCATTAATTGTATTTTTTTCTCTTTATTTCCAGGTCATTACTGGGACTGAGAGGGAGGGCACTCATGAGTTGGTCGTGAGATCATTTGATTCTCCCACCAAATGTGATGCATGTACTAGCGTAATGTTTGGACTAGTGAGACAAGGAATGATGTGCAAAAGTAAGTCTTTATAATTTAATGTTAATTCATGTACATGTACATCACTTTTCTTTTATCTCTCTTTTCTCCTTCATATTCTTACCTTTCTACCTTTTCTCTCTCCCCCCTCTCTCTTTCCTTCTCTCTCTCTCCCCTCTTTCTTTTTCCCTCTCTCTTTTTCCCCTCTTTCTTTTTCCCTCTCTCTCTCTCTTAGATTGCCAGATGAGTTGTCATGTTCAATGTAAAGACAAAGTCCTTGCTACTTGCCCTCTTCCTCCTGGACAAGGTCAGTTCAAAGTTCTTATTTGGCATATACACACACAACACATCAATTGTATATAATTGGCAGCTAGTAGATCTCTTATTAATTTCCTGTTTACTGTTTTATTATTATTATTATTATATTATTACTATTAATATTATTATTATTATTATTATTATTATTATTATTATTATTATTGTTATTATTATTATTGTTATTATTATTATTTAACTTTACAATACACAGAAAATGTTTTGAATTTAATTTATTGAATTTATATATTCTATTTTTCCTATAATAGCTAAAATGCCTTCAGGTATTGATATTCACCACGGAGTGGGTACCGCTTGTGAGGGTTGGATTCAAGTCCCTAAACCTGGCGGCGTTAAGAAAGGATGGACAAGGGCTTATGCTTTCGTTTGCGACTTCAAAATATTCTGCCACGAGCCTTCGAATGATGTACACAGTCCTGCGAATGGGGTATTCAATATATTTGATATAAGGTAAGTTTAAATTACACATACATGTATATATATTAGTTCAAATTACTGTACATGTA